CCCTGGTGGTCAGCGCACATCATAGCAACTGGTTGTTTGGTTTTTCCGCCATTCGGTCTATTTGCATATTAGGGTTTTATATATATATACCAGTGGCCCGTTGCATGAAGATTCGCACAATAGGCCTTCCTTCCCCTGGCTGCTGGCACTGGTTTTCCTCCGGCACCTGGGACCCAGGCCTTTGGTCTGGCCGCAGCAGGGATGCTTGGCTTCTCTGCTCCGGCTGCTCCCAGCCCCTCCTTTTTTTTTTCCAGCTCCTTGAGCAGAGCCCAGGACGGGCCGGAAGCCTGAGTCACCCCTGGCGACCCAGGCCCCCAGACACTCCTTGATCGGAGTCCAGGGCTGGTGGGAAGCTTGGCTTCCTCCGTCGCCGGGAGCAACCCAAGCCACCTGCTCGCTCCAGCTCCGTGGCCACCACCATCTTCAATCACCTTCAGTCTTCGCTCTGCGTCTGCGTATGCAAATTAACCGCCATCTTTGTTGGGTTAATTTGCATAGTCGCTCTGATTGGCTGGTGGGAATAGCAGAGTGACAGCAATTTACATGTTTCTCTTTTATTAGTGTAAATAGATTATTCCTACAAAAATATAAAACATGTAGAACTGAAGTAAAAAGTCAGGCTAGTGAGTGAAAACTTTTTCTTCTTTAAATTTTTCGAAGAAAGAAGAGAAGGAAGAAGAAGGAGAAGAAGAAGAAGAAGGAAGAGAGAAGGAGCAGTTAGGAGGAAGGAGGAGGAGGAGGAGGAGGAGGAGGAGGAGGAGGAGGAGGAGGAAGGAAGAAGGAAGAAGGAAGAAGGAAGAAGGAAGAAGGAGGAAGGAAGGAAGGAAGGAAGGAAGGAAGGAAGGAAGGAAGGAAGGAAGGAAGGAAGGAGTAGAGTCTCAGAGAGAAGAGATACCAAGGGAGAGAATGAGGAGGCTGAGGACAGATGAGAACCCATACAAGGATTTAGAAAGGATTAGATAGAAAAAGTTTGAAATGGATAGAAACCCAACAAAAGAGAGGTACAGAAACCCATAGAAAAAGGTTGAGAGATCTATACTGGAAATAGCCAACAGAGAGAGGGAGATGGGGTAGGAGAGAGAGGGAGAGGGAGAGAGACAGAGACAAAGCCAGGTAGCCAGAGTTAACGGGGGAGAGAAGGATCTGAGGTGTTAGATAGATGAAGAAAGAGGGAGAGAAAGATAGAGATCAGAGCCAAAAGTGAAGGGGACAGAAACCCAGAAAGTAGACAGAGACAGAAGAGAAAGGAGAGAAAAAGCTTAGAAAAAGAGGTAGAAAATGACAGAGAGTCAATGATGAAATGAGAGTACAAAATACTCCTATATACATCTGAACTCATGCATGGAATCTAAGTCTATCATCCTTATAATCCTGAAACATTGAATCCTTCTCTTATCTTCACAATGCCTTCAGCTCAATCCCCTATTTGCATCCTCAAGCCTTCCCTTCAGGCTCATGTTCTTAATCTACCCAGAGATTTCCCCGAGCTCTGTGAAATTCCCAAAAGAAACTCTTCATAGAGTTTCAAACCCCAGTCTCTTCATAAAGGTTTCTTTATTACTGCCTTGCCATTGACTAAACCTGGATCAAAGGTACTGACTTCCTTGCAGCTCTCTCAAATGAAGACTGTTCTCACCCTTCACATATTCTAGGACCACAAGGCAATACTGCAAACTGCTGGCTCTTAGCTGTCCTGGCCTCAAACACCATTCCTTCTCCCTCCTTCCCAAACTCCCAAGAGATCTACCACATGGCTACACACCCTACCTACCCAATCTTGTGAATATCATCCCTTCATTTAGCTCCCCCAACCCCCACCTATAAATTCATACATGCACCTGTTTACTGGGCATCTCTATTTGCATGACTCAGAGGCATCTCAAACTATTTATCATTTCCTCCCACAAACTCTTCTAATATATACACATAAGCAATACATAATGCTTCTGTTAGTAAAATAACTACCTAATATAGGACTGCCACATTCAGAGATAAGAATTTCATAAGATATTAGGTACCATTCTAAACAGAAATTCTGAGTTCACTCTCAGTAACCTACTCTTGGGCAGTTAGAACTAATAACAAATCTGAGCTCTCAACCCTAGAGCAGAACCCATCTCTTATTAGTTTACTAGCTAGTCTCTTGAGTGATATGTTGGTCCTGCCATAACAATTAGAATAAAGGAAGTGGAGATCATGAGTAGGCCAAGAAGGCATTATCCTTTTGGTGGCTGGAATATTATGGGAGGTACTGAACCTGTGTATTTCTGCACATCTTCAGAAAATCTTCCTTTCTTTTGACAAGAAAGGTTCATTATTTTCAGCAATAATCATTTTTCTTTCTTTCTTTCTATTTCTTAAATGGCACTATCCCAAAACTAAGAGATGTCTTTCTTTTACTTTGGAAAATTTACAATACTCAAGAGAAAGTTCTGAGATAAATAAAATACTAGAAAGTGTATTTCTTTTTTATAATTTTATTAGTGGTTCTCTGTCCTCTAATTTCCCTTAATGGCTTCTCAATTGCTCTTTATCTGTAAGATTTTAAGATAAATAACCAGCTCTGCACAGAGCAGGGAGGAAAATCATCCTCTGGGATAGACAGATAATGGTCAGTCCATTGTAACTCCCCAGGCAGGATTAAGTGACATCAAGGGAAGACTGTGATGGGGCTTCCACCAAACCAAAACCAGACAGTTAAGTCTTTAAGTGCCATCACAGATACAGCCTTACATTAGAAAGTTTTTATATTCTTCCCTTGCTCTTTATCTGAATAAGAGTTCAGTGAGTTAATATTTGTAAAGCACTGAAAGAGGGCATTCACATAGGGAAAACAATATAAATTAAGTAGTCAAGAGAAAATGTTTAGGGGCCTGTAAGGAGACCTTTGCAAATGAATCTGCATGCAATCCAGAGGTTCATGGAACAAATAATTCCGACATTTACTTTCCTCCCTGGGGTATCATAATGTCTAGCATCTAATAACAAAAAGCCATGAGGATGCAAAATTCCATTATAAGAGTGCTTCGAACATAACAGATGCTCCATAATTTTATTTGGGAAGGAACAGGAAAAAGTAAAGACATGCCAAAACAGATAAAATTAAAGACATAACAGGCAGTTTGCTAGATTGAAAAAAAAAGGCATGAATCAAGTAATTGGCTTTAGAAACAAAGAGAGCTCAAATACTTATAAGGATTTACAGTCCCT